AGTGGCAGGTGGCTGAATTTTGCGGAGACTTGCCACGGTCTCCAACCCTCCTCCTTTCTCATCCGGGCTTTGGACCGGCCACGGCGGAGTTACCATCTCTCTGCGACCCATGAGACAATGTCGTTGCATTCAATCAATGAATTACTTCGACTACAGCCACCAAATGGGCGATCTTCGGCCGTAGGTGCAACGAAGCTAAACGTTTTGGGTAGAATACGGTCAAAAATTCAGTGAAAGACACGCTAACGTCACTTTGTTATCGTATCCATTTCCTTACATTTGTTTTCTGCTTAATCCCGTACTGAAAATTTAACGTTCTTGGCCATGATATACGCTTCTTACAGACCTCTGAAGCATTTCAATTCAGTAATAAGTGACAATACTAGATGAGTTTTTGAAATAATCCAAATCTCAATAAAAATTGTTGCATGCTATTACTCACATTCAATATACCTGATTAATGTTGCAGCACCAACAAATTATCTTCCACTCAGAGAAATTCCGCTGTCAATTTCCTCCTGCAGCGCAATTTCGGAAATTCATCGAGAAGTTAGTATTTCAATTAACTTCGACAAAATGTATCAATCATTCATTACAGATGCTTCGTTTGTTTTGAATAGTACCTGCTGTTAATTTAAGGAAATAAAATTTTATTGCAACTGAACGATTAAAATACCTGATAGAACGCGAAATTTGAAGTCTCCGCTACGAAATTTTCATTATAGAGGCAAACAGCTTGTTAGTCAGAAACGTATACATTTTTATGCATATTTCAGATCTAAATAATTACTCCAGATCAGAAGCTTAACACATATACCAAATTCAGATGTTCACATTAATTTCAAATTTACAATTATTCGAAGAATACGTTACGCCTGTGCTACTAGGAAGGGAAACAGAAATGCGGCTTGGGTAACTGAAAATGTGGAAATCTACCTCGACGTATCCACCAGAAATGAGGAATGCAGGTCACGGAAATGTATTAGAGTACCTGCACAAGTACAAGACAGGCAATAGGCGAGCAGTAATACAAAATTTTTTATAGACGGACTATTCAGTCTTCATGTCAAACAAGAAACGATAAAAAATAGAAATGCAAATCAGCAGACCGAACTCATCCAGCGAGGCTCAACAAATTTGAGATGGAACAATTCAAAATATTCTCTCCTGTGAACGACCTGTTTCCTCAACCTAGAGATCAAATATCTCCTGGCTCAGCCAAGTAGCACAAGAAATTTCAAAAGCATCTTGTTTGAAAAGCTTTATGGCAATCTTACACCCTGTTTGATCCGATATACTGAACATCTGAAATCTTGTTAATCGTCTGACCGGAGATTAGGCGAAACGATTTGGAAGCTCCAAACGGAATCGCAATAAAAGAACAGGATACATCAGCACACTGCACAAACGAATGTCGAAAAACTTTATATTCGATATTCAACTTTACAAAGATAGTTCAAGAAACGAATACAACAACAATCAGCCAAACGAATTTTCGACGAAATTTGTAACAGAATGTAAAATTTTCAGCCCATTGTACATATCGAAGTACACATATGAAAAAAATTACAAGGATATTTCAATGTTGAATCATACAACGACCTGTTTTAAGCACTTTTACATCATTAGTTGGCAAATACTGATGAACAATAGTTAGGAAGCAGGTAATTATTATTTCAAAACTATTTTACAGTGAAACTGTAAAGTAAATACAGCGAAGCATGATTGTTGTAGACCTTCAAAATAAACTACAAGTGTGAGCTTAAACATTCTAACAAACTGCTTACGACTACATGTTTAAGGTTCGTTGCAAACAAAACAGTTCATGTCAACAAAAAATCTATCGGTAAACCATAACGTACAAAACTGGGGGTCACATAAGTCAGAAAATCATAAAATCATACTCATTGGCTGAATTTCGCTTCAAAGGCGAAATGAGAATATTATACAACTATAAGACGACAAACAAACCTGCAGGAAAAAAAGATATCTAAAACTAAACCAAGTTTCAAACACAAATCCAATCACATAACCCTGAACATTACAGTTGTAATTTAAACCGACGATCTATAAAAAAACGAGCCATAGCGATGTCACTAAAATATATGCGAAAACTGTAGACGAGGGTTTCAAACACCACCACAACAAAAATGAGACTGTATAATGCAATAACTACAAAAACGAAAAAGCGCATCAGATTTATATTCTGTTTCCCAACATATTATCAGATCGTTGTCTGACCCAAGCCCATTTCGACCGCGGCTTGCGGATTGTTCTGCTTTTGAAAGTACTTTTCAAGCTTCGCTAAAAGCGAAAAACAAAAACATCCATTCAGCTCTGAAACCGAACAAACGAGAAATAAAACAGTACCAATTATGTGTTTGCCATAGTTGTACTTGCGAAGCGATGGTACGTGCGGTCGAATGTGCTGCATCAACTTTTTGCGTTGCTGCGGATCTCCCATGTCCAACATCTTCTGTACAACATAATTCGCATACTGATCTTTCATCATGGCCAGAAGCGGCCCGCCGCTGCTACTAAAAGAAAATTACATCATCAAGCTAAAACCACAAAAATGGCCGTTCGCCAAAAATGAAAGAAGAAACGTAAATGCAGGTAATTATTCAACTGTCACTAACTTACTCGTTTGGCGGGTAGTTCAGTATTTCGTTGACCAACGCGTTCCGTTCCTCTTGGTTCGCAAACACAACGC